TCTTCACGATCTTCATATCTTCATGATCGATCCCTCGACCAAGATGCTATTTTATTTGGGTTCTTATCGAGAATACGTGCCGGTCGGAAAAGTTGATTTGGCAGATTGTGGCGATCGGCAATTCTGCGTGCCGGTCGGGCCCGACCGGCGCCGACCGGCAGCGGCAGATCCCTGCATATACATGCAGTATATGAGAGGTACATGTACTGTACATATATGTGACACATGTAGTAGGGTATATGTACAGTACATGTCCGTGAGCAGTAACGAGTGTCCATGAATCCTGCATGTACTGTACATGTATAAAGTATTTAAACAGTACCAGTTTGGGGGATTTACTCAAAAAGGAGGAATATCCGAGGAGTATAATATATGTATTTTGCAAAACAAAATGGGCATTTCCGTGTAAAAAGGGAAAATGGACTCAATTTTTTTTTCATTGAGTTTTTAATGTGGTTGTATTTTTGCAATAGCATATTGACTAAAGCTATGGAAAAGGTCCTTAACTAGTCTTTGCTGGCTTTTTAACTTGAAAATTCACCTTTTAAACATTATGTCTGTAATTATTTAGTTTTGACAAATCAAAAGAGCTACAGGTATTACACATTCCTCCTAAACAACTCCATTTTAATTTGTATGCTGAGTTAAAATTTGAATATAGTTTCAGGAGAGCATTTCCTCTTTACATTTTATGACAAACCTTCCCTTTCTATTCTAGCTTTTTCAGTATACCAAAACCCCAGGGGTATTGAGTTTGTCAATTATAAACCTCCTCCTTCAGTGTGCAACAAACCAAATTATAACACCACCAACCCTGGGTTATCTGCCTAAGATAATATACACATGTATCTGGCACTGAAAGCTGGTAACACAAGTCACATGTAACGGAGTCACAGCATTAAGCGGTAGGGTAACACGAGTCACAATTTAAACTGCAGTAGTTGCAGTGCTTATTATCTTTTCATTAGTGCCAACTGTTTTTTCAAGTTTACTGGCATTTTAAATAGAGAGCAGCAGATAACCTTTTCATAATTCCATACACAAGTTCCAGTTAGTTTTGTAACATTCCTCATTTACATGTACATATGTACATGTCGGCAGAAAACAAAAGATTCGCATCTGTCTTCATCTATCTGAAATAAAGGTAAGTACGTACATGTAACTTTCTCACAAAATCATATCAATAGGGGTGAAAAGTAAAGTACCGGTAATGTACATGTACAAGTAAAACTTTGCCTGACGTGAAAGTAAATAATGAGGGGAAGAAGAGGTACAAATTGATCCAATTGTAGAATTTGGACAAATGAAATGCATGCAATTCTGTGTAGAATGACCTCCACAGCTATTGCAATGCATGTACATGTAATTAGCCAGATTACACACAATGTAGCATATACTGGTAAATTTTTCTCCTATTTTAGCCTCATTTTTCTCTTTCTACATTTCATGTGCCATACATGTACATGTACTAGGCCTAAAGCTTGTATAGTTGACAATATTACTTACTACATGTAGCACTTGGCATACAGTACAAGTACATGTACCTGTATTGCTGAATGGCGTTGTAGTAAAATGGTTATGGACCAATTTTTTTCATAAACCACACATAAAGTGATTTAAGAGCTAATTGTTTTCCACAACCTGGCAGAAGTGCCTGCAGGGTCACCTTTGATAATTTGTATCCCGCAACATTATACATTTTTACTAGTGCCAAATAAACCAAGGAATCAATGTGTCAGCGCATGAAATGCTCAAATTGGTATATACTTCACATATAAAATTACAAGGACATACATGTACATGTTTGTACTACATGTATTTTAATAATTTGAAAGGTACATGTATCATTAATTGCCTTTCATTTTTATAAAATAACCATAAGGAATGTCACAAAATTTTACTAAAACTGTTTCTGTAAGGCTCTCACAGCAGCAGAAAGACAGCGAAAAAGACATGAAAAGCTTTCAGAATGAGATGAGTGGAAAAAGTTGTGAGCTGAAGAAGGCAAAGGAACAAACCTAACAAAAGCTAAACGGAACAGGCTGAAAAATTCTCAGTCAACCATCGTGGCCATTACAATTTCTTGTCGTGAAGTGTGTTTGATCAACCATATGTGGTAATGCGGCATTCATTCAAAATGACATTTACCGGTACATGTACTGTATGTTGGTTTTGGACGGCACCACATGTCAATTCTTCAAAGTAATTCTTTTATCGTTTATGATATGAAATTCTTATAATTGTTAACTTAGCAACTGTTTGTCTTCTCAACTGCAAACCTGAAAGCACTGTTGCACTGGTGCTAATGTGTACATAATATAGGTTAATCTTGAGGTAACGCGAGTCATGGTAATGTCACATCAATTATTTACGTGTTTTCCTAAACTGGTTGGGAAATGCATGTACATGTATCATTTTAGGTGATGTAGAAATGGTATTGAGTTGTGAGTTTCTGATAACTACTCATTGTTTCCTCCAATTCATGGTTTGAGGAGAAATTTGATTTAAACCTAAACCAATTTGACTGCTTTCCTTTTTGCATAACGCAAGTCATGGTATAGTTACAATGCAATAAAAGCATTGTCATCTATTGAAATCTTTTTTTTTATTTTTATTTTATACCAAGTGTCATTAAGTACATTTACATGTACCTTCACATAGTAAATGGAATTTTTAATTGCTACATTTCAGTATGTGTTTGGTTATAAAAGTTTCAAAATGAACTAAAATGTTACGCAAGTCACCGTGGAAATGCCCAAGTACATGTACATGCCAAAAGCCTGCATTTGTTTACTGCTTGGATTACAAACATTACATGAAATTTTGCAGGATTGCAGGGTGGCAAAATTTAAAAATAAAACTCTAAAGTACCATTTTCCCCCTAAAATTACATGTACATGTAACTTATGCAGGTGGGAGAAGAAAAAATGAATTTAATATAATAGAAACCATCTTTTTAATTCCTTGTTTTCCCTAACATTGCATTCTTTATAGCAAACTTATAACAAATGTTGGCCTACTGTACGTGTAAGTGACATGACGTAAGAAACAAGATTCTTGTTCAAAATGGGAGTGAATTGGAACGTGCACTTCCCACTCTAAATTTTTAGTACATAAAGGATACGAAGATATAAAATAAGTGTTTGTGCACAGTGCACATGTGGACCTGTAAACATGTCAGTAATCTGGTGGTAGTACGTACATGTACATGTACATGTACATAGCATTACACTGAATCTACAGAACTGTCTTAGCATGCTTAGTCTTGGCTAACACACTGTAACATGCTAAATAAACCTTGTATTTGTAATTTACATGTACATGTAGCTTATGTTACTAAAAAACATACCATGCATGTACATGTCTGGGGCAGCGCGGACATCCGGGATTCTCGCAAAATGACAGCTACTTCACCCGTGAAAACAGAAACCACTGTGACGTACATGTATGCACGCACCAGCGAGTCCTAGGATCGGGTTACACAATCTTTTCTTTGATCAGTCCGTAAGCATGCACTCTTGTGAAACTCCCAGATGTCTGCATGCACTGCCCCATGGTCAGCCGGTCAATAATTTCACCACCTTCAGGTATTGTCAAGTCCGATTGATTTTCACGGTATGCCTAAGCATGGAGGAAGGTGGCGTAAGTCACAAAGGGACCTGCCGGTTGTACCATGAAGAAAGAAGAATGTTCTTATTCCTCCATGGTTATACGGTCACACACGTTACACATTAAACATTAGGCCTAAACACCCTAAATAGGCTAAGTTGTTAGTTTATTTATCATTTTAATTGATCATTATTTTTTAACAATGATAATGATACATTTAGAATTGTACGCATAGTCAATTGGTCTTCATAAAATGCTGATGTCAAAGAAAATAAGGTGAGTTGCCAGTTACAAACCACTCAGGCCTTTAATATCTGTATGCACGTGGTTTATGTAACGCCACACATTTTACACATACGTACATACATACATGTACATTGCACACCATGCATACTACTACTAGTCTACGTACATGTACTGTACATGTAAAGGTACGGTATGTACATGTCCAGTACCTACATGTACGTGTAGGCCTACCACGTACATGTATTCCAGAAATGTACTCACTTACTTTGCTGTAATTTGTGTAAATATTGTGTCAAAGTCGAAGACTGGACAACCACAGTAATAAGGCCAGCAATACACCAGTTTACATGATGAGCATACTGTCTAAGAGCATGGACTGAAGGATGTTCTTATCCCTCCATGACATTAAGACTATACCAAGAGGAAGGAAAACAGCACGCGTCAAAGTAGTCGAACCAAAAATAGTAGAAATACCGCCCTCCTGTGGTGAAAGTCTGGCTTGACGTAGTTACGGGTGCAGTCCACTAACTCAAGCAATAATTTCCCCAGGGTCATTAGCATTAAAAGTGCTCCCACAGTATCTTTCGAAAAAGGGGATTGTTTGGCCCCCAAAATGGTGAGATTGTGTAAATCTTTGCCAGGATCGAAACCCTGGTTCTTTGGGCTTCCATCTGAGGGCGGAAGAGATAAAAACGGTTGACAAATGTTCCCAAAGGACCGAGAAAGCAGAGGGTTGCCATTTGAAAAATGGCTGCGTGCTGACTTGGGAACTTCGACTTTTGGGGGGTTGGTTTTGTTTTGGGTGAATAATTAAAAATGTAATTTGTTAACCCCCCGAAATTGAAAAGAAACTGAAAGATTAATGACTGAATAATAATTAAATTTTTGTGTGAGACACCTCAGGGATGTTGGCTTGCATGTTATTGGGCTCTGAAGAATGGTGATTTCACACTGTTTTCAATGGGGCTGGAATTAGTGGGCTGTACCCTTACACACTCGGCTTTGGCTTCTTTTCACTCGTTTAAGAACATCTTACAAGCACGGTGCAATGGCGCTCATTGCTAGTGCACTGTGTTTCTTTCGTTAGTTATTCTATCGTAGTGACTGTCTGCTTCATTATCAACCTGCGTGGTGGTATCGGATTCTTTCTGAAGGCATGGGCGTAAATGGTGGGGGTTGAGGTGGGGTGGGGAATGTATATATATATCTCCCTTATTTAGGAGGTGGGATGGGCTATTAAATCATCCCCTCAATTTTTGTAGCGAGTGAAAAATTAAAGTGAGTGTGAAGAATTGTCGGACTTTCCAACGACTAAAATGTATTCAATATCACTCAAAAAGGGAAAACATTAAAAATAAATAAACAAATATTCCATTGCAATGTAAGATTCTGCATAAATGTAATAATACATCTGTATCATGAACAATCGCCCTCTATAGGCCTACAGTGTCATATGGTGTCATACCCCCTCTCCCCGCTTTTCAAATTTCCATGGCCGGGCAAGTCACCCCACTCCATTCCCCCAATATCCAGCATAAATTTACGCCACTGAATGCAGGAACCAAATTAAGAAGTTCGAGTCCTTGGCCTCATAAACTTGATGTTTTTGCAACACTGACGAGACCCGAGGCTTCGTTGAGCTGGGGTCCGTACCTTAGCACAGCGATTATTAAGTGGTGAAGAGTAAGGTCTTGCGGGCCGGGGGAGCAAGATGTCCTTTTATAATCAAAGTGGGTGTCTGAGAGATATTTTTCTGTTCCAACAGAATACGTATTACCTTCCCATCCAAACCACAAAGAAAACTCATTTATACTCATACTAACATTCCCCCTAGAAAATGATGCTTTCCTGAGGTCAGTTCCAGAACCTTTTGGGGAGGGGCGCAAACTTTTTCGGGATGGGCAAAACTATTTTCATGTAACTTCATATGTTCATGTTTCATGTCACATTTTCTGATGGATGATGCTACATTTTGGTGCTTTTCATTCGCAACACATCAAAGAAGCTGGCAAAATGTTTCCAGAGAGGGGGCAGCTTACCAACCGTACAGCTGTATACGCCAATGGATAAATTTACAAGGGTCGTTGGTAAAAATTGTAAACTATAAAAGCCTATGATGGAAAGTACAGATTATCATCTCGACGTTATAAATTCATCGTTGACCAGCGCTGCATATAGTTTAAATTGGTACCATGCAGTAACTGGGGATAATTTCCCTCCAACTTGAAAAGCTTGAATTTAAGCGCTCAACTATCTAGTTTGATTGCACTGCAATTTGAAATCGAATGTTTCTGTCCGTAATTCTCTTACACACACCGAGATCGTGGCCCATCATCATGAAGAGCTATACAGTTCGTGAACTTGAGGTCATTGGTTAAATTCGAGATCAACATATCAGCATCACCTCCATCAGATACATAATGATTAAATCATTCTGACAATCAATATCGTCATGCTGCGGGTGCGCATTCAGAGATCAGGCGACGCAAGAATGAACTTTCCCCTGTCCACTAAACCAGCTTTGTTACGCGAATGGGGGTTTCTTTCCTCTTTTCCCCATGATTCATTCTATCATATTCAAGTATTAAAACTATTAAGAAGGCAAACGTTTTACAAACCTGCAGATAAGTGTCAAACCTTGAGCCTGAATTAGGTAGTATTCGACGATAATTCTCTATCAACGCGCAAAAAAAGTTCTCTAGCTGACACATCTCAGGCCAAACAAGCGCCTTGGTCAAGTCGAATTTACTGGAGCTCTGGGCGGGAGGACTACCCTGCGTGCTCCCTGTTTGATACGGATTGTGCACGCCCTCTTGTTTGCTGGTTCCCTGCTGGTATCAAGCCCCGTCGCTTCTGGGTATGATGTATAGTGGAGCGTCCTAGATATTTAAATTATTATAATGCAAGGCGTAGCATTCTTGGGGAATGCGCCATTTGAGCCAAGGACAGATTTTCACTACACGAAGTTAACAGCTTGATTGATATACACGTATCGCCTTACTGAGCATTGCTCTTTTCATGGACTCTGTCGTTCAGTGCTGGAGAAGCAGTTTACCTTGAGGTAATAGGGATTAAATGCACTGGCAAGGAGGGAAACTTAGCAGTTTGCCGCGTATATAGCTACCTTGAAGTGAAAAACAACTTTGATATTCATAGCCAACGATGGGATTGGGCATGGCGGTACGAAGATCGGCGGTGATTGTACTTTTGCAGTTGACCATACTTGTTACTATGTGCGGTGCCTGCTCTGAGCCCGTCGGCTGGCAGCCTTTGCCTATCGCATCAAGGGCTAGCGAAGACTCCGTTGACTTTGCCATCTTGGGAAACGTCACGAAGACCACACCGCCCGTTTTCGTCCGTCGGTTTGGCGCCCCCGTCTACGGTGCGGAGGTTGCAGTGGAGTGCGTGTACAAGAAGCCGTCACCCCAGCTAAAAGTCTATAACGAGGTGACTGTGGTTGGGTTCGGGGAGAGCCACGACTGCACCAGCACCAACGTGGAAGAGAACCAGCGGTATATCTTCCTACTCGCACCCTTCCAGTCTGGCTACGCTGTGGTCGAGGCCAACGCCCAGTTAGGCGCCGAGCGGGCCACTGACGACAACATGCAAGCCATGCAGTCTGCATACAGCTGCCAGGAGCCGAGCGAACCCACGACACCTCCACCTACCACCTCCCCGCTGACCACCCAACCGCTCATTACCACTACCGTGACACTTCTGCTGAGCACTAAACCCCAGACGATCGTTCCCAGCACAAACGTGGAGCCTGGTGTCAAGGACTCAAGCAAGAATGGAAGTCAAAGGGTTCACCCGAGTTACTTCATTGCTGTGTTGGCTATAATGACTACGTCTACCTTCGTGTAACCCTTCCGTGAAAGCCACGATATGGGACATTGCTATATGTTTGCCGTTAGACAGAACCATGCTTAGAAGTCAGAAAGTAAAATTACTCCCCTGTAGTTCTGAGAGATTCTCATTAAGGCCCGACTATGCTTCAGACAGACGCAAAAGCAAAGCAAAATTTAAATCATCAAACAGTTGCAGCGAAATTCGCTTGAGATGAACCATGCTGAACCTTTGCAATTTCGCAACACGGATGTTTGATTGATCTGACGTCACAAACTCGCGTTTGTGTCTACTTTCCCACGCACCTGGAGATATCTACAGTTATATATGAGTCAACTCTACAGAAAAGCGTTTACACCTTGCACCGTATTTGTCTCGAAGCCGCTTTATGCCTCGGGCAAAAGCGAAAGCGAAAGCGATGGGAATGTGACGTTGAGCGTTTGCAGCAAACTTCGCTTGGGTTGAAATGTGTTCAATATTTGTGAATTTACTTTACAATTGTTCGATCTGACGACGTCTCAAAATTGCGTTCGCGTCCACTTTCGAATTAAGAAAAGAACCAGTCTCTCCGAATCATTACCCGTGGAGACTAAAACCAGTACAGGCAAGATAATGAAATGAAACCTTTTGGACTCCAACCCTATTAATGAAAAATACAAAGCCGGAAAAGGTAAACTCGAGGCCGAGTGTGTGTTCGAAGTTTATAGGGAAAGCGAGCTTAGCATAGGTTTTCCCAGTCGAATTCGTCATCTTCAAAATCAAGTTCAATATTGTTCATTCGTATTCCAACTTTTTCTCAGCTGGTTTCTTCCGTGTTTCTTTTTCAGTGGGTAGAACCTTCAAATTTGTCGAGTAGTGTACTGTAACAAATTCTATTCAGAACTAATTTCATTCAAAACCGTCATTCGATTTCGCGTTGGGTGACTGGAATGAGAAATTCCTCCCGAATTTTACTTTCGTTTTCCTTTATGGGCAATCATGTTCACATTTTGAACCTTCAAACTGAAAAAAACTTCAAGGTAGTCAGGGTAAGAGGAACATATGCAGATGTGTAAAGAACAGAAAGGAAGTTTAGAAATAGAAAAGACGATAGAAACGTGTGACACGTATTTACTTGAATGTATATATTTTTATATATCTCAAACAAATTACACACAAAGAATACAGTGCATTTGCTAATCAAAGTGTACAAATGAAAATCTCCCTGGACCTTCATCACGGATGCTGAAAGAAAAATCCCTTAGATGCAGTTTAATGATTTGTAATTTCTTTGTTTTACACACAAGACACATACTCTATCTCCGCAAATGTGCATGTATACTAAGATATTTCGGGTTCACTTAACGATGGCTTATTTTCTTTTTTTGTCACATGTTTAAAGTAATTCTTTTTGCTTTCATTTTTCATTCTATTTTTCATTCTTTTTGGACATTTCTCAAGCAAAATACGAATTAGCAAATTAGCAACTAAACATTGATCCATCGTTATTTTTATAGAGATCCCTATCCGTGAACCAAACGTTTCCTTTTATGAAATATCTTACATAAAGTAGTAACAAGGAAAAAAAACCCAGACGATTTAATGTTAAACGAATAACGTTGCACGAATCTCACAAATACTTGCCGATTC